CTGACAGTAGTAACGAGAACATATCTTCGAGGTTAACAAGACAGTCTCCGAAAGCAACATGCTGCAACAAAAAAACCTCGTACGACAAATAAGGTCGAAAAGAACCGTTACGGTTATTAATAGCATATGGTTCCATCAATATATACATTGGAAGATTGAGGTGAACTTCTTGCTTTTAATTAATTAAAATGTTCCGAATGTCAGCCTTTCATCATAACTCGTCACTCGCAATTTCTAAGACCAGGGACTAATCCTATGATTGGAATGAGTTCATATTATCAGATCATTCACAAGGTATCATCCCATATATCATGAGCTATATATGAGCATGAGTAATTTCAATCTACCATGAACTTTCGGTAATTTATGACCGACAAATGAATACAAAAATTACGTAATCTGATAATCTATCAGTTGTACATCATTCAATTGTGATAGTCAATATTGTATGGGTAAGAGTTAGATATGCCTATTGGTTCCTGACCTTTATGGACAAATAAAAAAAAAAAGAAAAAATTACAGGGAGGCTTACAGGGAAAGGAAAGTTCAATAATCAAGAAAACTAGTTTTTCGACACTTAAATTCTGATAGTCAAACGTTATTGCAATCAAGAAACTGTTTGTAATTTCATCAAAAAGGTAAATTTATCGCATTCCAGACTAGATGTGTCGGTATAAGTATCTAATAAAAAGATACTTATTGAAAAAACATTCAAAATTCAAACTGCATTTTGAATGCAACCTTTTGTTTTCTATTTTAAACGCCATCAACAATAGCGTCAATCTCTCTTATCGCGCTGATAATATAGCCGTAAAGTGAAACGGAAGCAAATTGTAGCTGTTGGCAACGAAGCAACGAGCGACAAAATGATCAAAAACGTGAAGCGTTTTCTTATCAGCACACCATCACCCATTTCACACGCTTTGAATTGAAAATGACTAACCAAAAATCGTCTCCATATATTTTGCATCATGCTCGGTGAGTAGTTGATGGATACGGTCAGGAGAATGACGTGAGAGATTTGCCAGTAGTTTAGACCCATTAGCAGCGAAAGGTGCAGCTAGCTTACAAGCATCATAAGCTAGCAAGGGAACCTTTGTGTTGGATAATATGTAATCAGAAACTTCAGGCGAGCCAGAGGCAAAGTTCGTCAATACGGCAAAGGTGAGAGTGCGATCAGCAATAGAGCTTTCGCAGAGGTTGCATATAGCCTAAAGTACTCATATTATCATCATGAAAAAAACACTCAATTCTTCTTACTTTGCCCAAAGTAACATTTGATTGTAAGAAAAACCCGCTAGCAGATCCATCAAGCGAGCCACTTATGCCGAGAATCTGATCGAGCGCAGCACGTCGTACATCAAGACGGGTGGTTGGAGTCAAAAAAGTAACAAGTTCAGCAAGTACTTCAGCGTCAGCCATTCTGAAATACAACAGCTGAAGAGGTAATAATATTTTGCCACAGTTTTTAAAAAACGAAGGGGAATAGGAATTGTTACAACGGTTCTTAATCAGTACAGCCTTTCAATCTCATATTGTTTCATTGCTTTCTTCTACTATACATCTCATCAGAAGCTGTTTCAGATTGAGTTTTCAGTTATAATCTGCTTTTACCACAGTAAACCTTATCAGAAAAGAAATAAAAAGAAAGCCCGGGCCTCCTGATAATCCCAGCAAATAACAAAAAATGTTCATCGCGTTCCCCGTCATTTATCTCACGCTTTATGGAACATGCGTACAGTAGCTATTTCTTTGTCAGACAAATGATATTAATAAATAAACAGATGAAAAGCGGTACTGTAGAAATAAGCCTATTTAGCACTCAGAACGAGGTAATGAAAAAGTCAAAGATGACAACAGTATATATCATCTTGTAGTTCAAGAACTGTTACACACCAAATTCTCAGTTCTTGATTTCAGTCCACAACCGACTTGCTCGGTATAAGAATCATAGGTAATAGAATTCTAGTATTGCACCATAAAAAAGCTGTACCCAAGTTTCTCAACAGGGAATTTCTTAAAAAACCGAAAAGGCTTCCCATTTAATCAGTTTATGGTTCATTCGCTATAATCTCTTCCATAAAAACGTCCGTCGCACCTTGTCATTTCATTATTCCTTAATAAACGCCTTTATCAGGTGAGCAAAATGACAGTTTTTTTCGAATCTGAAGCTACATATTACTATTTGATAAGGCGAGGCGATAAATTAGCTGTAAAACAACAGTTGACCATTTAACGACAGCGCTTCTTACTGTTTACAGACTAATCTCTCAATTTGCTGAACAATAAAAAAATCGCAGCCAAACACCTCATAAAACGTAGAAACTATTCAATAGGTTTCGTTGAGGTTGAGCACGATTCATTGATTAACGCAATAATGAGAACGCAATTAATCTGTATAGGTATCAGTTACCCACGTGCCATACACTCAATTTGCATCAATTCATCATCCTGAAAAGATATCCATAGCCCATCTCATCTTCCGAACAAAAGTGTACAAGGTCAGGGATGTGAGGTTATGAAAACGTCACAGAGTGAATAAATTGAGAAGTAGGCAAAAGAGACTAAGAAAGTGACGCAATGAATACTATGAAGTCGAACAAGGAAAACCGACACCGCATCCGGATATACACAGATTAACCTCGCGATAACTGACGTAATATTGACATGGTAGTCCAGTTATGGATAAACTTCGTTATACTACTGAAGGACATCGAGATTAGTTTCGGACAGGGAGAGAACATTATAAATGGGCAATATAAAATCGCATCCGGAGTCACGTGAAAAAAAACTGAGAAATAAAAATATTACTCTCAAGAAAGGGACTTTCTCACACTGCGCTCGCTTTAATTCAACGAAAAAGGTGTCAAACTCACATGTGCCAGAGAAGAGATAACTTTGCATGCCTATAAGTGCCACCGCTTTTGCCTGTGGGCTTATTAAAAATGAAATCAACCAGTGTCTCTTCAACCACGTTCCCGCGCGAACGTTACGTGGAAATTAGCATACGTGTGCTTCCAACGTGTTGTCAGAACTCTCCAAAATTCAAGGTTGGCTTTGTATCCTCAGTTCATATAACCTTAGATCATAACGAGTTTCAATGAGTTTACATGCGAACCACTTGAAAGTGCTACCCCAAATAAAAGCGGTGAAGCTAAAAGACGGAAGCGGGCAAGAGGTTAATCCTTTTAAAAATACCATCATCTCAAGGATGAGTCTGGTGTTTGCACCAATCTTGACACCTTAGCTGTGATATTGACTTATAGCCGTCAGAGGTAGATTTAATTTGGTTAACAAACTGTTCTAGATTATGCAATCGGCTACGAACGGACTCTTTTGGTGATATGATGAAGAAGTCCGCTAATCCTCTTAGCATACTCGAGTTTCTTTGTCGGCTGCTCTATAGTCACTCATCACACATTGATAGGAGATAGCATATTCGACCCAAAATACATCCTTTAAAGTTATCGGATTAAGTGGGAAGGTCTCCATACTTTATCACTAAAATGGAAGTCAGATTGTGGGAAACAAATGATATTCGAGAACTTCTAATTTAATAAGGAAGAAAGGTCTGCAAATGAGCAAATTGGGGGTGCAACAGCTACAATTGATGCTGAGGATGTCTTCCTAACAACAAACTTTAGCCATTCTTGACAAAAATAATAGCCATTTGGCCTCTCACTAAGGTATTCTGAACTAGTCACATAAGCTTTTTGTGTTGCAAATAGGCCTAGAAACGTTCATCTTCTTTCAATAACCGCTTTCAGTTCGGGATAATTGAAGAGTAATGAGCAGTTGTAGCAGCTGAGAGATCATATTTCGTCATGTTCAACAATTCATTTATGACCACATGGTTACCAACACACTTCAAATGAATTAATTGATGCTCAACCTAGTTTGAGGGATGTCAATTTCCCAAAAAATATCATCGGCGTAACCTAACAGGAATGAAATCGTGAAAGGTCAACTAAACCTTCAAATCCAAGAAGAGAATCAATGAACTCTACGGTTGTTTTAATGATGTACAAGATTAATATCTATAGTAAATAATGGCTTTCCAACCGAACAATAAACTGAACATCCACGATCAGAAACCTTCGGACACTTTTTCTCAAAGGCGTCATCTAATTAAACGGCACTTAAAAATGTGAAGCGAAAAACTATCTGGTTCGTAACCCCAAACTTCCTTATAGGCCGGGGTAATGCGATTTGATTTGGGAATTGCAATGTCTTTCAATATTTCGATTAAAGCACTTTACCAGATTCTACCAGAAGTCAGCTCATTACTTTTATCAATAAGTCAAGAAACCATTAATGGTGAAGATTAGTTGTCTTATCGATGTTCAGAAGCGTCAACACACTGTACGAAACCAAGTCTAGAAGTCGTAAAACTAAAACAGCACTCTCAGCCCACTGTCAGAGAAATTCCTACTGAAATCACATCTTGCACAACGAATCTTAGTGACACACACTTCTTTACAGTTTACACATTTCACAATGTTTTCATAGAAATTATGGCGCACACTTTTCGTCCGTGGCTAGCCTCATAAACCTTTGGATTCTGGCACCTGGCCGAAGGCAATCAGTCATCGACATATCATTGTAATGTCCAATCTCACTCGTAAAAGTGTTGAACATTACTCTTCTACATCTACCAATTTAAACAAAAAGCTTAGATTACAACAGAAACACGGATACATCATCACCTCTTGTCACTTTTAGGAACTTTTAAGAAAATATGAGAAGCAGCTAACCCCAGGGAACAACAATGGGATAAGAGAAAAGAACTTCGGAACACACGTACCTTTTAATGAAAAATTCAGAATTGAGGCTCAGAAGCTACGTTACTTATACTAACCACTGAAGCGAATATCATCTCAAATGGCTTACAACACAATCAAATTCGATAAGGTTTGGCATGCATCTACCGAAAAAACAACAAAACCTTTTTGGAAAATTCATTTATACACACATTCATTTAGATATTCGAACATAAATTATTACCACAACCCCAGCTTGGCTTTTTGCTTTTGTTTTTTGGCAACAACTTCAAACTGTCGTTCCTTCCATGAAGACTTTCTCAATTTGATTGGTCTGTTTCCTACATATTTACCATCCATTTCACGCATAGCTCGAGCATAATCCTTGAAAAAGACACTTTTTTAACACAAAATCGAAGAATTAAAATTACGTCGGCGTCTTTGAAAGACACAAATCCATATCCTTTACTCTTGTTCGTCCGAGAATCACGCACGACCTTCGCACGTTGGAAGCTTGGATACTTTCTGAAGGCTTTCGCGAGAAGTTCATCGGAGACTTCATTTCCCAAATCTCCACAGAATATCCGGAAATCAGCTGGGTCCCACTCAGCCAATGATAAATCTTCCCAAACCTGGATGTACACGTATTATGATACAACTTGTAGGCTTAAAATAACCTGGCCACCACCACATCGCAGGAAAGCTTTCTTATTTTTATTCTTTTCGTTCTTTTGTTGATTCAACTTTCGGATATCAGCCGATTTCTTCTGTTCCATAGCAATGATATCTTGGGGTAGAGCCTGAAGAAGCTCATTCCATTTTTTCCCTCACACATATCACTTACGAAAGTTTGAGTAATTACAGGTTCCTTCTCCAATTCTTCGTCCTTGTACAACGTTGGTCCAGCTTCTAAAACAGCAGAAACTTTTGGTGCTGGAGCCATTGTTGGAGCGAGTCGAATCTTAAAATTTATTTTTATAATTGGTGTCTGTGATATAAAACCTGATTTGGAACGAACATTCCAGGAACTGCTCCAGGCTGAGGCATTGGAGGGATAAAGCTTTGGGAAAATGTTCCTCCCATTTTCGCACCTGAAAAACGTTTATATTATCAATAATAACATTTATAAAGTATGATTTACCTGCTCCAAGAACTGGTGGTGGTTGAAACAATGAGGGAATAGGTTTTCCGGCAGGAATAGCTCTTTGATCAACTTCTTCCTTTGGAGCAGCAGGAGTATCTGCGGCTATTGAATTAAGTTCACTTTCAAAGCTGCAAAATACAAATATATATCTTCACGCTAATTCCCTATCCTTACCGAGCGAATTCATCCTCTAAGCTGCTCATGTTTGAACCTTTTTCTGCTCCAAAATATGCCTGCAAACATGAAACTTTCCATGGACCATTGAGCGTTCTTGACGAAAGAAAGATTGTGAGAAATTTTAAAAAAGAGGGAAATAGTTTAAAAATTCTCAAAGCTCAAGCTGAACTCTTTTCAATTCAATAATTCACGGAATATATGATCTTTAAATGGAAATTTGAATAATACTTTAAGTCATATTGGAAAAATACGAAAAATGGCATTATTGGTCCCGCCGCGAAAAACGCTCGCCCTTCAATTTGATTTACCGCATGTTTCGAAATTTCAAACCGTTATTAAAATATTAGTATTTTTAAATATATTTTTATGCTTCATTTTTTGATTTATCATCTTCTCAAATGAACTTTAATTCTGCTATCATTAATCGAAACGAAGGTAAGTAGTTTTCCATATTTTGCTATGATTACTCCCTCAATCAAAATGCGTACTGTCAATTTTTGTAGCGGCGTCATGCGAAGTTGGAAACACTTCAATGGATTTCTATTATCCTTCCTCTCATCAGGCAGCGGAATCATCAGTAATTCACAGTTTATAAAAAATACTAAGATTCTATAATAGATTATTGCATCATTAAACGCTGTACAAGATGATGACATGGGAGATGAACTAACGGAGCTTGAGATATTGAGATTGCAAGCTGCAAATGCAAGGCAAAAGAGAAATATGGATAGAATGATGGAGCGGGAGCAAACTGTAAAAATAGCAAATGCAGTTCGCTATTTTCATTGAAATATTTTAAGCAAATGACAAAAAAGCTCGATGGAGTCGGTTCATTTGTTAATCAACTTAGAGGAATACCTGACTCAACAGAACCGAAGAGCAGAATTATGTTGGATACGCACGGATATGTAGTTCGTAATAGGAGGCCTCTCCTACATAACATCGGTATCCATCCTATTATGGAAATGCATCTTACATTAATGCTTTGAAGGGGGAGCTGTTGTTCTAACTAATCACTCAAATCAAACTGTCATAGACGATTTACCTCCTTTACCTCATCGACCATCTAATCCTGCAGAACTGAGAAAGTTGGTGCGAAGTAAAATGATTAGATGCAAGGTATGGCAATAACAGTTTTCTGTTTTTTAAATTGTAGTTCAGGTGTGTCATAATCGTTTCGGAGAAACGCATATCCTTGAAAGGCATTTACGGGATAAGCATCCAGTTGAATATCTTGAATTTTTATATGAACAAGAACTTTTTGTTGAAAAGCAAAGAGAAGAAGAAGCGGAGCAAAATAGGATTGAAGAGTTAACTTCTGGTGGATTTATTCCTCCTCAATCAGAAATAGATGCTCCTTGTTATGATGTTCGAACCGAGAAGTATGTGATACTGTCATTGAACATCATAGAATACCTGTTTCAGCATCCCTCTCCCGGGTGAATTAACGGGAGGAGTGCCAGCAAAAGTAGACTCATTTGGTAGGCTGAAGCTCCCTCGACGTGTATATAAAAAAAAGGTGAGTCGTCACAACTGAAGTTGAGTACTTGACTGAGAATATTGCAGGTTTCCCCTCAGTGCGTATTCTGTGATAAAAGATTTAGAAATGACGTGTCTCTCAAAAAACATATTATTAAAAAACATCCTGAGTGTACAGAATTTGTACAGTGCCTTGATTGCTTTAAATGTTTACCTCAAAAAGAAGATTTAACTGATCATGCTTGCGATATGGTAAGAAGCCTTCTGAAGTTTCAAAACTTATAAGCTCCTTCAGACTTATTTGTGCATTGAATGTACACCTATCAGAAATTTATGCAGTGAAGAACGACTTGTTAACCATCGAATGAAGTTCCATCGAGGTGCTAGTAGTGGATTCAAATGTCATGAGTGTAACATCAAATTTTTAACACCTAGGAAATTAAGGTTTGATACTTCCTCATGGTGTCGTTCCAATCAAGTTTTCCAGAAAACACAAAAAAATGGCTCATGTCTTTGTTAAAACTTATCCCTGCCATTTCTGCGAAGAACATTTTACTTCAGAAGTTTCTGTAAGTTGTGTTTGGTGTTGGCAAGCTTGAATGTAAATATTGCAGGTGACAACACATGAACGAATGCACACTGGAATAATCAAGTTTGAATGCAAGATTTGCGACTATAAGTCGAATAGATACTCAGAAATGGAGGAGCACATGAAGGTTGTTACTTGTTTCCCTGTGCTCTCAGTTAATTTAATTTTTTCTAGGAAGAACACGGCTACCTTTGTTCGATTTGCCAAGAGAAGTTTGCGGATTGGGCGGATATCAAGAATCACACGTTAATTCAACATGGTGGTTACCTGTCAAGTGAATCAAATGCTGGTAATGTTGCCTTAGGTTTTTATACTTTATATTTAGTAGTAGTTTATCTTCGAACTAGAAGCTCGAAGATAAATTTTTTAAGAAAGATTTCAGCAGGTATAATGCTAAGTCTAAGCCATGAAGCTCATGGTGACAGATATCCCGGTTATTACGGGCTCTGGCCGATTCTTGTTTCAATAAACAATGTTTTTGATATTTTGTTAATTAATAGTATTGGTTTTGTATCCGTATCCTTTCCTGTAGTTTCCCATCTAATCATAACTCCTTTATTTGTTATCATTTATTATTTATTATAGGTTACATCGAGTCGCCTCGCGTATGGGTCATGATGAAAGGAGAGTAGAGAGGAGCAACTTCTGAATTGTTGTTTTTGCATAATAATTATTGTTTAAATGATAGGATTTAGTAAGTTTCGTTGATTGTATTACATTTTTATGTGAGCATGTAGGATTTCTCATTACTGTTGATTTTCACTTCACTTCATCTCAATTTAAGGCTCTATTTTGTATGCTTTACTTCGCCTGTTCATTGTTTCATTTAATTAGAAAACATAAAATTTAATAAGGATCCATTCATTTCATGCTGTTCGGGTCAATGTATAGACAGGTTATAGAAGGATGATAAATGATTTTTGTGGCATCATATGATTTTTTATTCTCGTGAACTTAGCCAACTATGACTAGATTAAAGCGTTTTTCAGAATTTCGTCTCGTTCTTGATATCAGTGTTTATCTTCCAAAGCAGCTTCAGTTCCGAATCGTGTGTGCTTGGCTTACTCCACTAATCCCTTTCTGTAGATAGGAAGCTGAGATGAGGTAACGAGATTTTAATTGGTACTCATTTAGGATTTCACACACTAAACTATGATCCCTAGAGAATGATGTCATGCATTGAACGAGGAGACTTCCGTCAGCTCGTCTACTAGAAATACACAAGAGAACAACTTTAAAATTTGAATTTTATTCTTCATGTATTGACATCACACTAATATCCAAAGATGTTGCTTCAACTATCTGTTGGGTCTTCCACATCTCGGACAGCTTCACCATTATCTGAAATTTCATGTATATTGAGAACTGTTTAGTTAGATGACTCGCCTCTTTATGTGGCGTTCCCGAGCTTTTAAGTTTTCCATAGTTATCTTTGACAAACTTAGCAAACTTGCTCGGTTCTCTCTTCTTCTTTTCATTGTCGACATTCAGCACAAAGTGACCTCGACATCTTCCACAAATCTTCTTGGTGATATCCAGAGATTTGGAATGTCTTTTCACTCTGTGGTATTATGGCGATACAGCTTGATGAAGTACTTTACTCATACCTTTGACCACATCCATTGCAGACATAGACATATTTAGCTTCAATATCATACGTGTGGCATCGATCTATTGATGGCAGAGAAGGAAACTTTTGCACACATTTGTTAGTCCTGAATAAATGGCTGAATAAGGATGATCGAGTAAGACTGACCATCTTTTCCAAACAGGCCCATGTCCAGCTTTGGGAACTCCATCAATCAACCATGTTGCTGCATGACAAAGCTCATGAACGAGAGTATCTCTTAGCCTTTCTGTTTGAAATTATCAAATGAAGTGAACGAAATATTAGAGTACCAGGCGTAGTGCAGACTTTGGTTGACAACTCAATAGTTGCTGTCCGATTACGGAAACTGTTTTTACATAGACCAGCAGTTTTACGGAGTCGTGCATTCCATGTAACATGCTCATAATCCATAGGAAGCTACAAAGAGCATGATTGATAGTCAGAAACTTCAAACTCACCAAATCATTGAAACAATAATTTTTGTACAATAAAAACAACTTTTCAGTCAATTCATCTCTAATCGTTCGGTTCTTGATCCCTTTCTGTATGTACTTCTCAGCATCTCGATGACGTTTACCGGTAAAGTTTATAGACAAAGAATTCAGAAAGTGATCATACTGAGAACTCTAAAACAAGGCAATCAAAGACAAAACGGAAAAAACTGGAAACTTACGAGTTTTACGCGTATGGAAGGTGTATTGAACTGTTTGGAGAAAACATCAGCTGGACTGTTTCTACTCCTTTTAGGAGAAGAATCTCGGCTAACCCCTTCTTCATCGTCCTCTATTTCCTCTTCGTCCTCATCCTCATCGTCGATGAAGTCATTAGAACTGGTAGACCCATCAGTCGTATAAATTATTTCGTCATCACTGACAACAAAACTAAGAGAAAGAATAGTTTTCTTTGTACGCATTAACAAGTGAACCTACTTCTCATTATCTACCGCGTCTTCCTCTTTGTCAGAAACCTCATGAACTACCGGCTTTCTAAGCGCTTGGAGGACTGAACAGATTAAGATACTTCATGAAGATGAAAGGAAAACTCACAATTATTGAACTGATCGTCATCATCGTCGCTACTATCGCGGCATGCATTTAATCTTTCAGATTGGTTAAAGTTATTTTTATTTTTTCGTGCAACCGGCCGTTTATTCTCCGGACTAGGAGTGAGATTAAAAGAATCTAATAATATCAAAAATGAATGAAAAGAGTATTTATAAACCAACCTGCGGTTAAATCAATTAGTTCAGGCGTTGAGTTTTTTTTAGGGTCTACATACTCAATATTTAGTTGGAAAGAGTCATTTGTTGATGGCTCATCATCATCATCAACCGCAACCACACTGCACTGGCTCTTGAAAAAGCTGATACAAAAGTAAAATGGAAAAGAACCAAACTTGGTTAGCTAATTCAGGATAGAGCTCAAGCAGTAGGTTTCGTTGATCTTCTTCAACAACATCATCCAAAATGGAAGATTGAGTAGTAGACAGTATGGAGCCTAGAAACACATAGTTCTATTTCTGAGTCATCCAATCTCACCACTTTTCGTGCTATTAGCACCGGAAATACTTTTCTTCTGTTTTACAGGAATTTTAGACATAACCTGAATATGTAAAAATGAAAACTCTCAAAACAGCGCATTCCTACCTTTGAGGTACGTGATGATGGCTTCTTCCGCTCTGCGGGTGAGGATATGCTCATCATTGAAACATCGTGAGTGGTATAATAGGAATCTGCGAAACGATATCTTGGAATACAAACATCATCAATATACCTGAATCGCATGCGTCTCCTTCATTCGTGTTCTCTTCATGCTCTGTGTCCTCGTTATTCTCTTTATTATCATCTGAATTATAAGAAGCCATGGAGGTATCCTAAACACATTAGAAAATATTCAAAACTCAATAGCTGCTTACTCTATATATAGCAAACGAAGTGGAGAAGGAGCAATGTCTTGACTCGTCTTCTGACAGAAAACTTTGAAATAGATCTTCTTGACTGAAAGCGTTATAAAAGAAGCTTTTGCAGGAAATAGTGCATACTTTTTCTTTTCAGTTTCCTCAGAAAGCCAAGATACATCATTAGAAGCCATGCTTTGTACTCTCGATGATTGTATATTTTAAATAATTGAAAAAAAAACTAATTAATGTATCTCTTCCGGCAGTTGGATTTCAAATTTTTTCGCTGCCGCCATTAGCATTAGAGCATATATGGTATCGACATCTGTCAGATAGATGGCCAATATAGTTCCTGTGAAGAGTATCATATACATACATTGTTTTCGTTAACAGATCGTCAAGATCTGAAATAATTCGAATACAAAGGATCCTAGATAGAGAAATTGTGAAAGCAACCGGTCTGTACGGGGAGAACGATAAAAATGAAATTGTTTCCTATCCAACAGGTAATGAGCTATTCGCGTTCAATGAATTTTCGTGTTTTAACCAATTCTTCAGATGAATTCGCTTTTTAACGATAACTTGAACAGTTTCAATGAATTCTCTTGCTGTAAATGATTTCTTTGATCCCCGTGAAGTTATAGAGTACAGATGTTTTCTTGGCCGTCTCGTCAGAAGACGATGATGATCGTTGTTTATGTGAACGATTGTTGAAATCTCATAGTTCTTCGATTATTTTTCGAGTTCAAGTAAAATTATTGAGAAGAAGATAAGATTTTGACAAAGTTATAATATGATGAATGGGGGAGAACATCTCTGACAATTGGCTCTGACTTGTTCATTCGATTAATGAGCCTTCAGAGATTATAAAAGAAGCATTTAAGGCAAATTGTGACAGTTATATCTCAATTATGATCATTTGCTCTCTTTATATCTTTCATTCAAATTATTGTTCCTAATTCTACGACAGCAGTTACTCTAATTGATTTCGAAGACAAATTTTTTTTTAATCATAAAAATCTGTAGCGTACATGTGCATGCTGCTGTGTTCAGAAGAAAGTCCTTCGTTGAGATCTCTTTCTCCTCTCATGCTCCTTCTGAAATGAAAAAAAAATTAATTTCAACAGAAAAAAAGAAGCAAAAAAAGAAAAAAAGAAAGCAAATAGTTTCAAACACATTCCAATAAATTGTTTTTGTTGCTTGCATCATATTAGCAAATGTTGAGAGAAGCTATATTCTTCTATGAATTATAGATCATCGTATCCAGGGGGAGACCTGGTAGCTTACTTGTCTTCTTCTCCTATTTTATAAAGAACTTACCTAATTATTTATTTGTCGCACATTAGCAACCATCTCACTCTTAAGAAATCTATTCATTTTACCAACTTGTTTAAAGAATATTTTTTTCTTCTTCCTTCCTCCCGTTGTCGGAAAAATCCTGGAAACACTTGGTCTGAGAGCAGCAGCTTTAAAGAGCACACTAACCTTTCCTTGTACACCTTCTAGCTTTTTTCTCCTTCTCCTTATTCAAACGAGAACGTTTGTCTCTACTACTCATCGTTCTACAAGACTCCAAGCTGTGGAGGAGACGTTTGGAATAGGAATCAAAAATCTTTTCTCGTTTTTTTTTTGCAGAATGTTTGATGTACCGAAAACATAAAAGTATCCATTGCTGAACTGTATTTTTCATAACAGAATCGAAACCACAACTCAAAACAACGCTTTGTTTGGAGTAGAGGTAGTTCCCCCATTTCGAAGATTTCAACATCTCTTCCGATTTTACATGTGATGTTGATGATAACAACTGTTTAGGTGATTTCATTTGACTTTTTGAATTGTAAACTGTAAAAATTTGAAACTTCACATCTTCAGTTTGGTTGATTGATATCGCTAGCAGTAGTATAATCCAGGAAGAGTTTCAATAGTTTGTTCAATCTCTTCTCTCTCTCTCTTTCTCTCCCTCTCTCTCTCTTTTTCGAATACTCAATGTTTGGTTGTCTAGCTATATTTCCGGATGTTGTTCTCTCCTTATCTTTTAAACGATTACTCATATCCAGCCTTGTCTCTAAGTTCCATTATAATCCGTTTACTCCTTTTTTCGAAATCTCTCTTAAACCTCTTTCTTAGTATTTAAATCTTCGTCTCACTATTTCTCTCTCTCTCCCTCTACTCCTCTCTCTCTCTCTCTCTTTGTATCTTTTTCTTAGTTAGTCAGGTCAGCTGTCTCAAATGTACTCTTTTATTTCATTTTCATTATCTCTTAATTTCCTATACTATTTATACTTTACGCATAATTCTTTTTCGCCTTTGAGTTGTCATTGGAAAAAGAAAAAGACTCTTCAAATTGGATAATCTCTCTGATTTCAGATGATTTGATGTTTCGCAGAAATTGTTGTAATTCGTGAAAGTTACGCAACTGTTCCAACATAGAAGTTAGATGATCAAACTAAAAGTGTAATCTACTTGTCTATACTTCTAGTCGATTTGTTGCAAGAAGATAAAAAAAAAAAATATTAAATTGACCTTCTCACCTCTGTTTTTTTCATTTCACATCTCAAGCTGATAGAGATGAAGCTTTGCACTTTAGGTTGACATTCACTTCAATTTTCCTGAAGACTTCACACCTTCACTTTTGATGCCATTTCCCATTCAGTTCTCATGGGCGTTTTTTTCTGTCTGTTACCTTCTATCAACAAACCATACACTCTATTACTCAATCTCACTCTCTCTCTCTCGCTCCCTCTCTCTATTACTTACCTCTCTCTCTCTCTCTTTGAGAATCTGTCCTGATATTCTATCACCCACAGTCATTAACTATACTGTTTTCCAAGGAAATACCAAACACCTAAGAAAAAAAAAGTGAATGACAAACAAACTGTCATTTTCTTTATTTTACAATTCTCTTCTCTCGATGATTATCTTCATAGCTAACCAGACAGTCATAAAGTTTCTTTTCCTTATAAAGGTCATATGAACCTGTTAATGTTCAACTTTTCATTTTCTTTTTTTTTTTTTTTGGTTTTATTATTAACAGAAAATTAGTAGAAGCATTTTTTCTATTAATTCTTTTTGTATATGCTGAACGAATATGTTTTTTATCCAATTTTATCTTATTTTTTAACTTCGTCATATTCACTTCCGCATTCTAGTGACTCGCCTGTGAATTTGAATGGGAATCGTACGGCAGAAAGAAAAAGAAAAATAAAAAGAAACATACAACTTCATTAGGAAAGAAAATATTTTTGTTGTTTTTCAAAGCCTTTTTTGCTAATATGATCTCACATGTGTCATTCTGCTTACCTCTGATCTGCGCAGATGACTATTGTTTTCTTATATTTCCTATGAAACAAGAAATGTTTCGTAAACGGCTTGTGAGTTGGTTAAATGCGATAGAGAGAGAGAGAGAATGAGAATGAGAGAAAGAAAGCGGGGTAATGGACTATGTGTATGTGATTGTGTATGTGTTATGTGTGAGAACTATTCTTAAGTTCTGAAAATGAAATATAGCTATGATTTGTGTGAACTGTCTGTACTTTTAAGACTTTGAGATATGTTTAAGTGATACGTTGTGTAGAGAGATCAAAGCTCTACACATCGTAGAGATAAAGGAAATGAGAGAGAAATGAAGTTTGTGTATAAAACGAGATTTACATAATGAAAGATTTGGGTATAAATAAGGAATATTTCTAAGGTGATAGAGATGAGTACCGGTTAGACGAAATGAAGATAGGAAGAAGCCACATATCTTATGACGAAATTTTCATATTATAGAAAGACTGGTTATGCTTAAATCTTTAATTCTTCAAAATGGTTTTATATTTTCAATTGAACATCATCGATTTCGTATGGAACTTATCCCTCAATCATCATTACATACATACACATTACCGTATGTGCGTGCGTGTCTCACATTATCTTAGTATGTGTTAAGGTTTTGCTTGAAAAAAAATTTTTACCTTCAATGACATTTAACTTTCCAGTTTTCATTTATAGAGAGTAGTGTGGTCTTTTAATTTTCTTGATAACTCACGTGACTTATTGAACCACGTGAAGGTATCAAGTTTTTATAATAAGAAAAGCTTCTTCTTATTCTTCTTTTTTCAATTCTTCTCACCCATCCCCCAAGCTCTCTATCTCTAGTCAGTTTGATAATGTAATTCTGCTCTCGGATCTATTTGTACTTTTAACATACCATATATGAAATTTACAACAAGTTTTCTGAGATTCACACAGGTGAGGGTGAAAGGCATTCCATTTGTTAACTTTGAATGTCGCAGATGACCTGATTCTCTTAATTTCTTTTTTTCTTTTCATCTCTTCATTTCTCGCAATCTTCATCTCTCTCTTTCTTTTCTTCTCCATCTTATCCATTCTTCAAGAGTAATATTGTGTAACTATTCTGTGTACTTGTGCCCTGAAGTTACATTTGATTGGTTAAAATTTAAAATCAATTCTTCTTTGTCATTACATTGAATTCCATATTTCAAATTTACCTCATCAACATCACCGTCGGACAGTCGGAGGTTAAATTCCTTAGAAGAATCAAATGAAATACTTTGATGTTCATGAAATATCTTCATGTGAGTTTAGCATATCTTCTCACGTGAACATCACGTACCATCTCAAGCAGCATCTCACGTTAATTTCACGTGACACTTCACTTGAATTTCATTTGTATATCATTGTTGTCACACTGTTCGGTTGCATCCTCTTTCATCGGAATACTTTGCAAAAATGCTTAAAAATAGAAATCAGAACGTATTCCTCATACTTCCCTATAACGTTTTTATCTTGTTCGAAACCTTTTCGAGTATTCAATGTAGCTATACAGCTATCCTCCTCACCAATCAACTTCATCTGTCAATTGAACACAAAAAAAGAAAGAAAATATACAAAACTCTCATTTCTACACCCTATCCACGAAATAAAGTTTTCTTCATCCAATTGTCATTTTTTTTCTGATCATTTTCCCGTTCGCTTAATATAAATCCCGAAAAGTAGAATAAAAGTCCGATACAACAGTCCGATACTTGAGAAGTACAGGAAAAAAGTTTTTGATTTCTGATTTCGAGAAGCATCATTCTGATGTCTAAATCGGGAAAGAAACTCTATGAAACATCTAAGCATGCTTTTCGGAGAAAAATGAGCATGAAGCTCATGTAACAAGCATTGTAGTTAACACTGCAGTCCATAT